ATAATCAACGTATACGAAATTCATTAATTCATATGTGGGTATGTGTTCATTGTACAGATTGTTACAACAATAAATTTCATTCAATCATTTCGTTTTATCATAGGGAAAGGCTGGTGTCGTTGAAAATGCTCAGAAAATTTTTCAATCAATTGAGAGTCCTGATGTTATTACATATAGTTCAATGAGTAAAAATAGATTTTATTTTTATTTTTTTATCATTTTGTTTCTGTTAATTTTTTTTTATTTTTCAAGTTAATGCCTATGGACTTAATCGAATGGGTTTAGAAGCTGTTGATTTATATCGAAAAATGCCTCATCATTTACGTAATGAAGTGACATATGTATGTGTATTAAATGCATGTTCTCATTCTGGCCTTCTTAATGAAGCTCATTCCATCTTCAATGAAATTCCTCAGAAAAATAAACAAGTTATTGCTACGATGGTTTGTTTATTTATTTGTTTATTTTATCAAATATGAATATTATTTTATGTTTTAGGTTGATTGTTTAAGTCGTCTTTATATATTTGATGAAGCACAAAAACTCATAGATGATTATGAAAAATCTAATCCACCTTCTTCAGTTATGTATAGTAAGTCTTCTTGAAATTCGATTTTTTTTTCTTTATTATTGATTTATATTTGATTTTAGTGGCAATATTATCTGGAGCACGTAATTCTCATCAACACATTTTATCAAAAAAAATCTATGATCGAATGAATATATTATTTCCTGATGAAAAAGAGACACTCAAATCTGGTTCAATTCTTGTTGGTAATACATATTCATCAGTAGGTGATTATCAAGAAGCAGTGAATATTCGATCAAAACGCATTCGAGAGTTAGGAACAAAAGTTAAACCAGGAGTCTCATGGACAGAATTCAATGGTGAAATATTGGTAAGAATATTTTCTAATTAACATTGTCGAGTTGGAAAGAAAAATAAATCTGTTTATTTTGTGTTGTTTTTCAGGAGTTCAAAGTCAATGATCGTCGTCATCCTCAATCTGAAGAAATTCATGCTAAAGCAAAATATATATCCGATGTATTGATTAAATATGGTTATAATTATGATTCTAGTTGGATAACTCGTCCATTACGTGATGATGAAACAATCGAGTCAGTTTTATGTACTCATAGCGAACAACTTGCAATTGCTTATCATTTTGTTCAACAAGAAAACCCCAAATTTATTCAGATCACGAAGAATCTTCGTATGTGTGGCAATTGTCGTAAGTTCTTCTTGCTTTTTTTCATATCATTATTAGTAACTTATGCATTTACTCTTTTAGACGGAGTGACAAAACTTATTGCCAAAATTTGGCAATGTAAAATAATAGTACGTGATGCAAATGGTATACATCACTTCTCTCCCGATGGGACATGCTCATGTCGCGACCATTTTTAGTTGTTGTTTTTCTTTTCTTTTTTTTTGTTTGTCTTTTCTTTTTTTTGTTTGTCTTTTCTGTTTTTTTGTTTTTTTTTGCATCGTATATCACTTTATCATATGAAAAAATAAAAAACATATATGCTCTAATCATTCTCTTTTCTTTTTAACTGATTCATGTAAACAAAATATTTTTGATTATGAGATAAAAGTCTGATTTAGGGTATAACTCCACAGTTTTGCCCGAGAACACCCTTTAAAAATAGTACCATTCGATAGAGAATTAAATTCTGCGTCCAACACACTAGGTTAGAAAGTTAACACAAGTCATAGAGCGAATCCGGAGAAGAAATACATGATATTTGTTATTGGTACACAGGAGAAAAGTCAGTATTTCGCGTAAAAGTAGTGGTTTTTGCCCGATGACCCACCTTGAAAGTCGTACCATTCGATGGAGCATTAAATTCTGCACCCAACACAAGCACTTAGAGAGTTAACACAGGTAAGAAAGCGAATCGGGACAAGAAATACTCGAATCTGGTGCTAACTTAACTTACGTCCCATATTAAGCCTTCTGTTCTGCACCAAAAAAAAAATGCGACGATGCAAAACATAAGAATAGCTCATTTAAGTAGCAACTGACTGATGTGACTCTAATACCTATTCGATTCCAAAACAAAATCAAGAAGATAACAATATCATATTATTTTCCAAAAAAAACAAATAAAATATTCCTCATTCTCTTTTGCCTCTAATAGATTCAATCAATTATCTCTTCATGAATCAAGCACTGTTTATATCTAACAAAGATGCAAAATTATTTTTCTTTTCCAAGCACATAGTTAAAATATAACTTGTTAAAACAAAGCAAAAGCATTACTTTTGTTCTAATTTCAATGAAAAAAACTGTCAACTTCTTATAAGTATATCGAGTTATTAAACAAGAAAATCGTTAGATACACTAAATATTTCGATTTATCATATCTCTAACATTCACTGACACATAGATCACGAACTCTGATTACGGAACATCTAATGGAAGTCATCTTTCATGTGACTGTGCTTATTTATTGAATTTATTTCATTTCAAAAATACAAAAAATATTATATTTCTTTAATGCTTTCAAGGTTATATCACCAAAATACATTTAAAGTTTTATTTTTTTTCTTCAATTTTTCAAGATATTGTGCACCTCTCTCTGCGATTATATTTTTGGAGATATCAAGGGTGGTGAGTGTCTGTATGAAATGGAAAAATATGAATATGATATAGATGAGTACGTTATTTTTCTCACTATGTTCTGCTGTAATTCTTCACCAAGATATTGTGCACCTTTATCTCCGATTTGATTCTTTCTGAGATCGAGTGTGGTGAGTATCTGTATGAAATAACAAAAAATGAATACGATATAGATGAGTAGATGGCTTCGCTTACCATGTTCTTTTGTAATCCGTCACCAAGAAATTGGGTACCTCTATCGCCGATTTCATTGTCAGAGAGGTTCAATGTAGTAAGTGTCTGAATGAAATAAGAGACATGATTTGGATAGAAATCAAGAGACTTTCTCTCTTACTGTGTTTCTTTTCAATGCTTCTCCAAGATGTTGTGCACCTTTATCGCCAATTTGATTCTTTCTGAGATCGAGTGTGGTGAGTGTCTGTATAATTTAAAAAAGGTAAATATGATAGAGATGAAGAGACTATTTTTCTCACGGTGTTCTTTTGTAAACTTTCACCGAGATGTTGGACTCCTCTATCTCCGATTTTATTGTTGTAAAGATAGAGTCTAGTGAGTGTCTATAAGAAATAGGAAGTATGAATATTACAGAAATCAAGAGACTATTAAACTCACTGTAGTCTTTTGTAATCCTTCACCAAGATTTTGCGCACCTTTATATCCTATTTCATTGTTGTCGAGATAGAGCTCCGTGAGGGTCTGAATAAAATAAGAAAGATGAATATAATAGAAATGAAGAGACTATTTCTTTCACAGTGTTCTTTTGCAAACTTTCACCAAGATATTGTGCACCTTTGTCTCTTATTTGATTGTCAGAGAGGTTGAATGTAGTGAGTGTCTGACAGAAATCAGAAAAATGAATAGGATAGAAATGAACAGACTTTTTCCTCACTGTATTCTTTTGTAAACTTTCACTAAGATATACTGCGCCTCTATCGGTGATTTTATTGTCGGAGAGATTGAGTGTAGTGAGTCTCTATGGTAAATAACAAAGATGAATTGGATAGAAACGGGTCGACTATTTCTCTCACTGTGTTCTTTTGTAATGCTTCCGCAAGATATTGTGCACCTTGATCTCCGATTTGATTGCTGTAGAGAAAAAGTGTAGTGAGTGTCTATATGAAAAGGGAAGATAATACGAATACAGATGAAGACACTATTAATCTCACTATGTTCTGTTGTAATGCTGTGCCAAGATATTGTGCACCTTTATCTCCTATTTGATTGTTGTAGAGATAGAGTGTAGTGAGTGTCTGTATAAAAAAAGAAGATGAATATGATAGAAATAAAGAGACTATTTCTTTCACAGTGTTTCTTTGTATTCCTTCAGCAAGATATTGTGCACCTTGATCTCCGATTTGATTGTTAGAGAGATCTAGTGTAATGAGGGTCTATACGACATTATAAAGATGAATACAATACCGAAGAGCAGACTATTTCTCTCACTGAGTTCTTTTGTAAACTCTCACCAAGATATTGTGCACCTTCATCTCCGATTTGATTGTTTTCAAGGTCAAGTGTAATGAGTGTCTGTAAAAACAAAGAAGATCAATGTGATAGAGATGAAACGACTGTTTCTCTCACCGCGTTTCGTAGTAATCCTTTACCAAGATATTGTGCACCTGCATCACCGATTTGATTGTTTTCGAGGTCGAGTGTAATAAGTGTCTGTACGTAATGAGAAACATCAATATGATAGCAATGAGAAGACTATTTCTCTCACTTTGTTCTTTTGTAATCCTTCCGCAAGATATTGTGCACCTTTATCTCCGATCTGATTGTTTTCGAGGTAGAGTGTAGTGAGTGTCTATAAGAAATAAAAATGATGAATATAGCAGCAATGAGAAGACACTTTATCTCATTGTGTTCTGTTATGATTTTTTATTGAGATAAATTGCTTCTTTCTCCGCAGAATAGATAGTTATATATTTCAATAAAAATTTTGAAATCAACTGAATATTTTTTTTAAAATGTGCCTACTGAAATGAGATCTTCTTACAGAAACGACAAGGCTCTGTATGTGTGTGAATCAGAACTGCCCAACAGGCTACGTTTTTCTAGCATGGTCTTGCCTGATCTGGCTCAGAATGTCTTCAAGCCAGACTAAAAATCACAGAATGCCCTGCAGGCTAAACTAGACCGATTGATGTTCTCATTTTTTCGAATATATTTAATGCCATAACTCTGTATTAATATATTATTCTAGGCTCAGATGTTCATCTCATTTATTTTCATAAAGATAAGCTAATAACAAGTTCTTGTATGAAATAGTAAATTAAAACAAAGAAAGACTTGAATTAACGCAATGGTTTTGATTATATCAGTATTTTTCATAGTCGAAAAAATTTAATGATGATATCAAATGCAACATATGATCAGGCATATACTAATGAGACAAAAGAAGATATACAACGACAATGTAGGGAATAAGTGATACGTGTAACAAAAAGTAAAGACATTAACATTTGACCATTCATTTTTGTAACAATACAAGCGCAAAATTTACTATCAAATTATATTATGATGAATCTAAACAACTTCCTCTGTCAGTCAAAGTTAGTCCTACAACACTAAATTGACGTTCTGTTCAAGTATTTGTTGCCGGAATTGAATGAATTTATCAAGGTACTCTCATATAGTAAGATAATGCATCAACATTTGGTTTTTAAAACATAAGAGTTAGGCAAACAACTTTGGTATGGCCTGGTTTCTTAGCCAGGCTGAATATTAAATGGGCGGACCAGACCAAGCTAAAATTTAGAAATTTGGTCTGACTCAGCGGATGATCTGGAAGGTGCCTGCTGGACAGCAGATCAGGCTGGCAGTCTGATGTATATGTAAGTGTTGATGTCGGCATTCGTTACAGAGAGATTCTCGCTCACTATGAGAGGCGTATATGCACATCTGCATGCTCTAACATCTAAATTTTTCAAAAAATTTTCAGAAATAATTTTCTTTTATACAAAATAATGAGTTGATGTTTTTTTCTTCGATAGAAAATGATTTGTTTGTATTTTGTTTCCAAAGATTCAAATCAAATAAATTATTTTATTTTTCACATATAATATTAGATACGATAATTTAAGTAAATTTTGATCTATATCTATTTAAAGTGTTTCCAGAGACTATTTTATGACTAGCTGGAAAAAAAAAATTTCTCTTCTTTAAAATTTATTTTAATCAGATTCTATTGGATTAATATTTATTTTATCTGTTAGATTGAAAAAAACGATACATCTTATAAACAGTTTGTTTGTTTTTTAGTTTAGCTTATTAATTAATTTAAACTCTGATGGAAAAAATCGAAATCTTTCATTTTTATTTAAAATATTCGAACTATTAACTAAAATTGCTTTGTTAATTAAAATCATAAAGAAACTAATTTGTTCTGAATTATCACACTATTTACTTTAACTAAACTTTTTTTACAAGTAATATAAAATTTATCAAAATTCTATGATTCGATTTAAAACTAATAATTACATACCCTATTATTGCGTAAAAGATAATATGAAACTATTTCCATATCATCATCAATCAATTGTTCATTGCTCAAGTATAACACTGAATTATTGTTATTCTCATCAATCATTTGTTGAAGTGCTCGATTTTTGTATGTAGGTGGTGATGGTAATAAAGTTGTTGTTTTTGATTCTAAAAAATAAAAATCATGAATAAAGTAGATGAAAGCAATAGAAAATTGTTTTTAAATAGTGTTATTATTCAAGAAAGATAAATTCAGTTATTGAAAATCTTTTTGATTACAAATTTTAAAAAATGAACTAATTTTAAAATTGAAAAACAAATACATATGATCGAATCAATGTGAATAAATTAATTTTTTTTTAAAATCTTTCTATTAAATTACTATTTAAAAGAAATATAGTCTATCTTTATCTGAATTATTTTGTAATTTTTCTTTAAATAAATCTCAAATGGTTTTCTAAAATTTATTCAATCTTTTTTTTACAAAATTCAGAAATAAAAATTTTTCAGTAAAAACAGCAAATTATTCTAATCAAATATTTCTATGAAATATATTTTATTTTTATTGAATATTATTCAAAATTATTTCGAGAAAATAATTTTCATTTTTAAATTCTAGAAAGATCATTATTATTTAATAAAGACTAACAGTTTAATTTTACTATTAATTCAATGTTTATTCTATATTTTTATGCTAAAATTCATTGTAAGAAAAAAGAATTCATAGAAGAACTGAAGTTCAAACAAATGAAATGTGTAATTAAAAAACAAATTCATTGTCATGAACTTAGCAGTCATCTCACATATTTTTTGACTATGATCGTAACTTGATTATAATTACTAACGAATACTTTTTACTTTCTCCTATAACATTTTATCTGCTGTGTTTTTTTTCTTTTGCTCAATTGTTCTATGTAAATATTGCAATCTATGATAATATTTCAAAATGTAAAACAAGCTATGAGAAGACTTGCCATATGATTGTACAGATGTAGCCTGATAATTTAACTCAGACGATGACTGATTAAAAGGTGATACTACAAGTTGACAAGGTGGGGTTTCTTCTTGTAAATGAATAATGTACAAATCATTGGCTGGACTCCATTTGTCGATTACACGTAAATAAGTTCCCGGCATTAATAAAATTTCATTTTCATCTTTGTAAAATGAATGAGATTTAATTGCTTTTCCATTAATACATTCAATCATAAATAACGTACGAATACCTGAACGACCAACAAATTTTTCCATGACTTTCATTGTTTCTGTACATGAACTGATACCCCACCAAATAAAATCTTCCTGATAAAGATCAAATACATTCCCACGAATTCCTCGCCAAATTGTTTTTTTCAATGATGGTAATTTATACAATGCTGTTAGAAAGAGTTTCAAATATGAATACCATGATTGAAGTTCACTTCGTTTTTCAGAGCGAAGTTTTTCATTTAACAAAGTGTAAACACTTTGATGAATTTCAGGCCATTCCAACGTGTACAGATGAATTGAAGCTGATTCATCAGAAGTAAGACCATCTGATGGATTACGAGAGTTTCGTTTTGCTGTCCATACCATTGTTCTAAGATTATGAATAGGTGGTTCTATTTCAGCCATTGCATTTTCTACCGGTACTAAATCTTTTTTCTCGTAGCCCTCGATAGGTGTTAGTGTTTTAGTAGGTTCTTTATCGGCATCAATAAAACGATTGATAATTTTACCTTGCGACATATTTATATGAGTTTTATGTAACTTGTGAAAATGTAAAATGTGCTCGTCGTAACCTACGACTGTAGTGTGTTTGCAACTGATTGTTTCTCAGGTAACACTCTTATATTTATATGAGAGACAAGAAACAATAAGAAAAAAAATGACCTAACGAAGTTGTTTTTCGGTAGAAAGATGATACTTCTTATGACAACCCAAGGACAAAACTTTTTCATCTTACACAACTCATTCATCTATGCTCCTTGCAATAACTGTTAGTACAACTCGAAAGTACATTGTATTGTTTAGAGATACTAGACAGATTTTAAAAGTTTAATATGTAAGTAATATAATTGAATACTTCTATGCATTATCTGATTGTCATCAAATATAGTACATGAGTGACACAAGGCAAATATCAGAACCCAATAGTAAGATTTATATCATCTGCCGTTATTCGTTTAAACTTTAGTTTTTTCTTTGTTTTCTAAGCACGTTGTCAAACAATCTTTTTTTCTTTTGAAATATAAGACGAACTTTGAAATATGGGACAGAACAGAAGAAAAATAATAACTTTTGATATATTCATTTTGTCATTCTATTGGTTTTATTCCATCAATACTATTTTTTTCGATGCAATGTCGACTTCGAAAAATGAAAACAAATATACATTCATAAACAGAAGATTTTATTTAAAAGTAAAAAGGAAGTAAAATAGTAATAGTGTGTAAAAACACTAATATTTACAAAATTTACATCAAAATTATGCACGAATAAATGAAAAATGTCTGTAGAAACTTTATTTGATATTATATGAAACGTCTTTGAATTCCACGACTTTCGCTGATTTAATCCAGCGTTCGATTAAATGAAATATATCGAATGAAAAGATATTCGAAGCTAATTTCTTTGAATCATATTATTCATTGTTGTTTTTTTTCAAATCATGCCAGCTTTCTTAAATACTACCATCTATACTCGTTCGTTGTTTTATCAAACTAAATATTTCAATATAATTAGAACAGCGGATAGCGTAGTTCAATCTCTCAAGATAGTTTCACTTTATTCAATATTACAACCGAATTACGAATCATATCGTTCATTATATACTGAACTATTGAATTTGTTTACTCAAGAAATTTCCTTGAATGCTAGAATTAAACATGGTGAACTAGTATGACTAGGACTGCCATATATACCTCATTTTGAACTTTAGTACCATATGAAAAAAACTGTATCTGTGGAATGTGCATCTTGTACTCAAGTTGATCATATTTCCCTTCACTAAATACAATGCTAACATCTTATATTAGCATTGCATTATTAACTTCTGGTCTAAATGTAACCTGTTTTTTCTTGCTACTATCGTATTTGTATTAAAAAAAGCTTTCAAAGTTGTGCATTTAGATGATCTAGGACAAATATCGTAAATTCTCTGATGAGCATGTAATTCATGAACAGTACAAATGAAATCGTCAGTCGAGTCATGTGGAAGCGTTGGAATGGTTGCTGCTTTTAAGTGACTTACTTCCAATGGTTTCTTAATCGTTCGATGGTCAGCAGGTATGCTAATGTGAATAGTATCGAGCCAAACAAGTAGATACCTAGAATCATAAGCCATTTACACTTGATGCTCTCGTACACAAATGAGTCAACGTAAAGTACGTAGCCAATCTCCTTACGTCAAACGATATTATCAAATGGCTTGTGTTTAAATGGCAAGGTCTTGTGAAAGAATGGAAGAAAAAATGGCGAAAAGTCACACATTTATTTTTCTAGGAAGTTAGACAACTGTGTAATAAAAGAAGGATAAATAGTTGATAGAGTGCCTCTTAGATTAGAATTTTCCAACGTACACTAATCATTCTTGTTTTCTCTAAATTAACGTTTAATATTACTCTGGATGAATTATGACGTCAAATTATCATAGAGCGATAAGTAGGATCTCTTACAGGAACAGATTTTAGGTGCTTGACGCAAAAATGAAAATGATATGAGTAGTTCTACTTTTGAGAACAACGAACGTTGTATGATGAGGAAACGCATCATAGATGTCGATAAGAATAAAGAAAAATAAGCATATATACATCGATTGATAGCTTGCGAGTGTGTGAATGTGTGCAGATTCGAGTTGTATCAGGTTGTGCATGAGTATGAGACTGAAC